TGAATCCTTCCAAAGCATTTTTCTGGTACGTTGATCATGGGAAGCCGTGAAACTCCTTGCAAATGTTTAAAACGAATGCGCGCGGCGCTAAGGCGAGATCCACATTTTGCAAAGGAGTCGCTCTTAATCAGTGACATTCTTGCAAATGTGCGCGGCGCTGAGGCGAGATTCACATTTTGAAAACCACCCGCCCTCAATCCGGGAAGCCCGTGCAAATTTTTGAAACGAATGTGCGCGGCGCTGAAGCGAGAGCCACATTCTGAAAACCACCTGCCTGCAATCCGTGAAATTCCTGCATTTTTTTCAACGAATGTGCGCGGCGCTAAGGCGAGAGCCACATTTCGAAAACCACCCGCCCTCAATCCGTGAAGCTCGTGTAATCTTAAAAAACGAATGTGCGCGGCACCACCCGCCCTCCATCTGTGAAACTGTGGTCAATTTTTCAGATTCAGAGTCAGAAGTGGTAAGGAAATCTCAGGCGAAACGCCCAGTCCGCCGAAATGGGGAGGAGGAGGAGGAGGAGGAGGAGGAGGAGGAGGAGGAGGAGGAGGGGGAGGAGGAGGGGGAGGAAGAGGAGGAGGAGGAGGAGGAGGAGGACGAGGAGGAGGCGAAGGAGGACGAGGAGGAGGAGGAGGCGGAGGAGGAGGAGGAGGAGGCGGAGGCGGGAGGAGGCGGAGGAGGCGGAGCAGGCGGAGGAGGCGGAGGAGGCGGAGGAGGCGAGGAGGCGGAGGAGGAGGAAGAGGAGGAAGAGGAGGAAGAGGAGGAAGAGGAGGCGGAGGCGGAGGTCGAGGCGGAGGCGGAGGCGGAGGCGGAGGCGGAGGAGGAGAAGGCGGAGGAGGAGGAGGACGAGGAGGAGGAGGACCAGTGTAAACCCAAGAGTCATCGACGATGTTGGAATTCACCCTCCCTCCAAACTCCGTCTTCCTAGGCCCCTGCAACGGTTCATTTCCATTGAGGGAACTGCCTCGCTGGAAGACGACCGTTTGAAGACCCTGAAGCATGCCGAAACATTTTTCTCGGGATTCAACGCCACGGATCAACCTGACTGCTGTGTCTTGACGATCCGGAGTCGTGCCCGAACGCCGTTTTGTTGTGGGGACTTCAACACCGCGAATCAACATAACTGCACCCGCATAATCCTCAATCCTTCCAAAACACCATTTCTGCTGAGTTGGTCATTGAAACCAGTGAAGCTCTTGTAGATGTTTGAAACGAATGCGCGCGGCGCCAAGGCGAGCACCACATTTTGAAAAGGACCCGACCTCAATCCGTGAAGCTCTTGCATTTTTTAAAGCGACTGTGCGCGGCGCTAAGGCGAGAGCCACAGTTTGAAAACGACCCGCCCTCAATCCGTGAACTTTTTGTAAATTTTAAAGTGGATGTGCGCGGCGCTGAGACGAAAACCACATTTTGAAAACGACCCGTTCTCATCTGTGAAATTCTTGCGCACTTTTAAAACGAATGTGAACGGCGCTAAGGCGGGAACCACATCTTGAAAACCACCCGCCCTCCAGCTGTGAAACTCTTGCAAATGTTTAAAACGAATGTGCGCGGCGCTGAGGCGAGAGCCACATTTCGAAAACCACCCGCCCTCAATCCGTGAAGTTCTTGCAACTTTTTAAAACGAGTGTGCGCGGCGCTAAGGCGAGAATCACATGTTGAAAACCACCCGCCCTCCATCTGTGAAGCTGTTGTGTTTTTTCCCAACCCTCCTGCGTTGGGTACTCGTTTTGAATAGAGCACTGCGGTCTCCACCTTCCTTCCTTCCTTCCTTCCTTCCTTCCTTCCTTCCTTCCTTCCTTCCTTCCTTCCTTCCCGCCTCCTCCCGCCATCCCTGGTGGGGCTGCGATCTGCGAAACTGTCACCACTTTCGAGGGCTGCTGGGGGGTCCAGCGGAGTGACGCCCTACGGGGACTCAGATTAGATCTCGCCATCCCTGGGGGGCTGCGATCTGTGAAACTGTCGCCACTTTCGAGGGCTGCTGGAGTGCCTAGCGGAGTGGCGCCCTACGGGGACTCAGATTAGACCTCGCCATCCCTGGGGGGCTGCGATCTGTGAAACTGTCGCCACTTTCGAGGGCTGCTGGGGGGCCCAGCGGAGTGACGCCCTACGGGGACTCAGATTAGACCTCGCCATCTCTGGGGGGGCTGCGATCTGTGGAACTGTCGCCACTTTCGGGGGCTGCTGGGGGGCCCAGCGGAGTGACGCCCTACGGGGACTCAGATTAGACCTCGCCATCCCTGGTGGGGCTGCGATCTGTGAAACTGTCGCCACTTTCGAGGGCTGCTGGGGGGCCAGCGGAGTGACGCCCTACGGGGACTCAGATTAGACCTCGCCATCCCTGGGGGGCTGCGATCTGTGAAACTGTCGCACACTTTCGAAGGCTGCTTGGGGGGCCAGCGGAGTGACGTCCTACGGGGACTCAGATTAGACCTCGCCATCCCTGGGGGGCTGCGATCTGTGAAACTGTCGCCACTTTCGAGGGCTGCTGGGGGGCCCAGCGGAGTGACGTCTTACGGGGACTCATATTAGACCTCGCCATCCCTGGGGGGCTGCGATCTGTGAAACTGTCGCCACTTTCGAGGCTGCTGGGGGGCCCAGCGGAGTGACGCCCTACGGGGATTCAGATTAGACCTCGCCATCCCTGGGGGGCTGCGATCTGTGAAACTGTCGCCACTTTCGCGGCCTGCTGGGGGGCCCAGCACAGTGGGTACCCACGGCGGACTAAAATGGGACCTCGCCATCCCTGGGGGGCTGCGATCTGTGAAACTGTCGCCACTTTCGAGGCCTGCTGGGGGGCCCAGCGCAGTGGGTACCCACCGCGGACTCGAATTAGACTTCGCCATCCCTGGGGGGCTGCGATCTGTGAAACTGTCGCCACTTTCGAGGCCTGCTGGGGGGCCCAGCACAGTGGGTACACACCGCGGACTCAAATTAGACCTCGCCATCCCTGGGGGGCTGCGATCTGTGAAACTGTCGCCACTTTCGAGGCCTGCTGGGGGGCCCAGCACAGTGGG